CTATTTTCCTGTGCTTTTTTAAAAGTGCTCAAATATGGATGTTTAAGAGCACTTTTTTCATCCTTTCTTCTCTTCTAAGTATAGGACCTATATATTTTAAAAATCTTTTTAATGTTTTTATTTATTTTTGAGATAGAGAGAGAGACAGAGCATGAGCAGGGGAGGGGCAGAGAGAGCCAGAGACACAGAATGTGAAACAAGCTCCAGGATCTGAGCTGTCAGCACAGACCCCGACGCGGGGCTCGAACTCACGGACCGCGAGATCATGACCTGAGCTGAAGTTGGACGCTTAATGGACTGAGCCACCCAGGCGCCCCTAGCATCTATATTTTTAAATGAAATAATTTACCAAAGGAGCTTGAAAAGGTACCTGGAACAGAGAAGGTCCCAGTAAGTGGAAGTTACTACTACTAGTATATTCTCACTAACATAAAATAGAAGTAAAACAGAAGGAACGGACTAGGGAGGAGACGCAACACTTCTTCAAGTCGCCTGTGAACGTAACCACATATAAAGGAGCAGACTAAAGAGGCCATCACGTCAGCAAAGCATTTTACTATCTATCTGGAGAGATTACAAAAATCTCAAAGCTGGAAGGGATGTCAAAATATTTGACATGTCTCCTTTATTTTTAAGGATATAGAAACTGAGGCTCAGCTACGTGGCATTAGTCTAGCCTAATATGGTTACTTAGAGGTAAAAACAGATTGGAACCAAGGGCTCTCGAATCTCACCTTGAAAGTTTTTACCAGCATAACACACTGGCTCCTTGAGGCCCACGACGGCATAGGAACAACCTTCATGCTGAAACTTTCACGTTACAGCTTAGTAGTTAAGAGAACAGGTCATCACCTTACACTCCTGGTTTCAATCCCCGGCTTGACCATTTCCTGGCCAAATGACCAAGTTATTTAATGTCTCTGCTCCTCAACTTCTGCAGCTGTAAAATGGTAGTGGTATGTATCTCATACCACTGTTTGTTATTGACAAATACACACATAAGGCACTCAGAAAAAGCCCCGACATAGAAAGCATTCCATAAACATTGGCCCTCTCGATGGTAGATTTTATCAATTTTTTTTGGTTCCTCATGGCCATCTTTGTAAGGATTATTTTCCCCCACCCTATCGTTAAGCTTGGCTATTTGACCTGCTTTGGCTAATGAAACATAAATGCAAATGATATATGCTCTCCTGTAAAAGCCACTGTGTGTTCCTGCCACCGTTTTTCTTTTACTTCTCAAGCCTGGGTCCTGGAGTGGACAGAACGTGTTGCAGATCTGCAAGTGAGCCACAGCTGACACACAACATAAGCAAGACCAAGTCCTGTACCGTGAGCAACAGATTTGGGGTGGTAGCTGGGGGTGGGGGGAGGTGCTGGTTACATAACAAAAGTCTAGTTGATAATTACACTAAGTCAACTTGTACACTCTCATACCATTTCGTGCACCAGCTGCCAGGTGTTGGTGGTCAGTTAACACAGACAAAATGAAAGTCAGAGGTGCACCTGGGTGGCTCAGCCAGCTGAGCGTCCAACTCTTGGTTTTGGCTCAGGTCACGATCTCAGGGTCCATAGGTTCGAGCCCCGCATCGGGTTCCGTGCTGAGAGAGAGGAGCCTGCTTGGGATTCTTTCTCTCTCTCCCTCTCCCTGCCCCTCCTGTGTTCTCTCTCTCTCAAAATTAACAAATAAACATTAAAAAAGAAAAAAAAGTAACAGCTAAGCCTTGAATCCCTGCTACGGCATTAACAAGACGCTCAACACGAGAAAGTGCTGGCGCCTGCAGTGTTCCATTCTTACTCATCTGACAGCGTCAGGCAAGGGACAGGAGAACCAGCACGGCTGTGGGGACTGTCTCACTGCCAAGAGAGCACTCCTGGGGGCCGGGGGAGAGCCGGGAGTGGAAAAGTACGGAATAGAGAGTTAGAGTGGGGAAAAGTGTGCTCAAGTTTCCTCTACCCCAGCGAGAGAGTCTTGGCAGAGTTGCTTGGGCAAGGTCCCCAATACCAGGCCTCCAGGTGGAGGTGTGGCCTGCAGCACGAGGATGCCTACAAGCCCTGCCATCCTTGACGGCAACACAGAGACTGCACACGGTGGCTGTGCCTGGGAGTCCAGCGTGGGAGGGTGGCTCTGCCCCACGAGGGGCAAACAAGCTGGACTCCTCGGGTAAGACGATTTGCTCCACAGAATACCTAAATGTAATGTAAAGTTACAATCATTAGGAAAATGTGGTACCGACCCAAGGAAATACGAATAAACCAATGGAACGTAACAGAGGAACCAGAAACAGACCTATGCATATAGGACAATTGATATATGCAAATGAGCCTTGTACAGCAGTGGGAAAAGACAGTCTTTCCTGTAAGTAATGCAGGATCAGCTGGATATCCATATGAGAAAAGAATGAAATCTGACCCTCACTCATACACAAAAATCAGTTTCAGCCGAGTCACTACACTGTACACCTGAAACGAATGTAACACTGTACGTTAACTACAATGAAGTAAAAAATTTTTAAGTTTATTTATTTTGAGAGACAGACGGTGGGGGGGGGGCAGGGGAGGGGCAGAGAGAGAGAGAGAGGGAGAGAGAGAATCTCAAGCAGGATCCACACTGTCACATGCGGGCTCGAACTCACGACCACAAGATCACAACCTGAGCCGGTATCAGGAGTCAGACGCTTAACCGACTGGGCCACCCAGGTGCCCCCAGACACATACTTTTAAACATGCTTTTCCCAAAGTCCCTTCCTTTATCCCTTTTCCTGGGGCCGAAGAACTCACTCTTCCTCTAAGATTTCACCCTCCTGACGCCTTTTCAATGGTTCCACGAGTGGTTCTTACACCTTCGGTGCAAAGTAGCCTGTACAAACCCAGTGGCTTTCTCGCTGTATTTACTGTTTTCTCTCTGCACCTTTCTCCCCAAGTAGACTGGGAGGCCCCTGAAGACTGGGGTGCTTTTTCCAGTTACCTTTGTATTCCTAGACCTGGCACAAGGCCCAACCCACAGCAGGTGACCATCAACACTGTACTTTGAGCTCACAAGGAATAACCATGTTACATGGATCCTGCCCTCCTACCACTACATTCTTCAGCAGAAGAAATGTGTTTCTCCAGAATGTCTGCCCCCTTCAAAGTCTTCAAGACACGCACCACTTACTGCTTAGGATTCAGTTGCGCTGGTTTGGGGTGGGGTATGGCATCGCTTCAGTGCTGATCTCAGAAGAGTATTCTCCACCCAGAAGAGTCTGTCTGCAAACCTCCATCCTAGGGACAAACCGAGACAGTTGGGGCCAAAGAAGTCAATGCTAAAAACACTGACGATAACAGAACAGAAATGGCATGGCAGGGAACTTTCTCTGGGACAGAGCAAGGAGAAACCAGTCTTCCTCAACTGTCAAAAGGCAGAAAGAAGCAGGACAAAGGAATTCACACCTCGACCCAATGTCGTAGACAATTTCCTGGTGTTTTGTTGAGGCACTTCATTCCTGCCTGTAAGTATGTGCCTTACTCTCTCCAGCACACCCCATGCCTCGGTGAGGTTCTGTCTCCTCAGTGTGCGCTCCAAAACCGGGACCTTTTCTGCCTTCAGCCCCCACGTCCATACTGAAACTTACCTGGGCAGAGTGGTAAGCACGCCTTCAATACCAGACTTCACGCTGTGTGTTTCCACACGCAACCCTGACCTCAGTGCCTGACCGCACAAGTGGGCTCAAAGCTTCATGGGGTCCAGTGTGTCTGTGGGCTGTCTTGCCTCAGATGCTCATGAGAAATCATGGAAACTATGTATCTCTTTACAACACAGAGTCCTACTGCAGACCAAATCAATCTGCAATTTCTATCACTTTGGTGTTCATCTTGAACCTCGTGTGGTTTAGTTTCAGGGTTCACAAGAATTTCCTGGCCTGCCACCCAGGGGTCAGAAATCACTATTAATATAGAAAAATAGTAACAAAGTAATTTTTAAGTCCAGATCTCTTCCATGAGCTTCATACATGCATGTGTAACTTTTGGGTGTAGGTCTGGGGACGGGATTAGAAAGTTAGGGTACATTCTGATGAACAGTTCTACTGGGATTTCCAGATATGACAAAGACATTTTCCAGACTGAACTCATTAACTTTGTACCACTTCCCAAATCTGAGCTCTCCCGGTTGATATGAGGCATCGAACTTCAAGGAGTCACTCAAAGAGATCCTTGAAAGTCATCCTAAAACCAATGCCATCCTCAACTCAACAACAGTTCCCAAGCTTGCCCAGTCTCATACCTCTTGAGTCTGCAAATCCCTCACCACACTTGAGAAACACCAAATCCAAGGGATCGGAGCACCTGACACTTTTAGAGAGGCTTTTTGTTTTTGTTTGTTTTGGTTCAGGAAGCTCAGTCAAGTTTAGGGATTTACTGGCTCAGGAAGTCAAGAGTCCTGGGGTTTTGCCAACTAAGCAAGAATGACCCTGACAAAGTATCTATTAGATTTCTGCCTAAAACAAAGGCAGTCTACCCTCTGCCAAGGAGGTTACTAACCCATCGAATCACCCCTGAGAGCATGGAGGTACAGAAAGAAGACCAATCAGTTCCTATTTCCAGATACAATGAGGATATGTGGTTCCTGTTCCACCAATCAACACTACTTCCAATTTCAAACTTAACAGGTTTTACCTATAATACAACAACGACAACAACAACAGAAGGTTTGCACATGAGGAAAATAAAAATATTTGAAATACTGAAATCTGCTCTTACTAAACCAAAACAAACTACATTACGGTATACATGTATTTAAAGGGCCTTACCTTGTGAGTTGTGAAAGCGCATTCTCAGAAGTCGACGTGATTTCAGAGCTTTAACTAGTCATTCTGGAGCACTTTTCACGGACTTCTCACTTCTTCAATATTCTAAAGGACCAGGTATCAATTAAAACATCAACTTCTTCCATGCCCTTCTCTTAGTGTTAACTCCTGATACAAAAAAAAAAGGCCTTTGGAATATCTTCGTCACATAAATCAATGATGACGCTTTCCTTTGGCGTGTATTTTCTGGTGCTTAGTAAGATTAGAACTCCCACGGAAAGCTTTCCCACATGCGTCACACTCGTACGGTTTCTCTCCAGTATGGATTCTCTGGTGGTGAATTAGGGTTGAGATCTGGCTGAAGGCTTTCCTGCATTCTCCACACGCATACGGCTTTTCTCCAGAGTGAATCCTCTGGTGGTTAATTAGGGCGGAGTTCACATAGAAGGCCTTCCCACACTCCTTGCACTCGTACGGCTTCTCTCCTGTGTGGATTCTCTGATGTTTGATGAGGGCGGAGCTCACGCTGAAGGCTTTCCCACACTCATCACACTCATAGGGCTTTTCACCAGAGTGGATTCTCTGATGTTTGATAAGGTCTGAGCTCACACTGAATGCTTTGCCACACTCATTACATTCATACGGTTTCTCCCCATTGTGGATTCTCTGATGTATGATCAGGTGTGCCCTCACACTGAAGCCTTTCCTACACTCATTACAGGTATAGGGCTTCTCGCCAGTGTGGATTCTCTCATGCACAGTGAGCGTGGAGCGCACGCTGAAGGCTTTTCCGCAGTGACCACACTCGTAGGGCTTCTCGCCAGTGTGGGTTCTCCGATGTCGAACGAGGCCTGAGCTCTGGGCAAACTTCTTCCCGCATTCACTACAGGCATACCGTCTCCCTTCCGTGGGCCTGTCCTCCCGCCTTTGAACCTGGTTCACGTACTGAGAGGTTTTCTCGCGCTCAGAAACCTGTAATGTACTCCCATTCCGTAAGCTGGCAACCTGCTGGTGTGGGTCCATCCTTACAGAATTCTTCCCTTCAGAACAGACACCTTATTCGTGCCTCTGGCCTGGACTTCTGAAACAATAACACATAGAGGTTTCAGTGTAATTTATTCCTTGTTGCTAAAGCAATAGGATGTGACACAGACTTAACTAGAAGCCTCAAACATGCTTGACAAACCCAGGACACACCAATCAAATGTCTGTAAAGTAACATATCACAAAACTATTAGAACGAACACCTGACTCAAACGTCTATTTAAAAATTACCCTTTATAATGGTATCTACAGCACAGAATCTGGAATATAAGTGACTACAAAATAATACTTAGTTCCTACTTAAAAAGACTTCTCACTTCTTTAATTAAGTCGGGAAACAAGACAGGAATTGAAGAGATTTGTAGATAGTGGAGCAGATGAAGGACTATACAAATACAGAAGGGAAAAGAACCAGAACTTCAACTGGTAACAAGTTTGGAAAAGTGACAGCAGCCTCACTGACAGCTGGGTTTTTACCACTCACACAGAAGTCCACACTACTTGGCTGGAAGAGAAACACGGGGATAAAAGCTCTGGCCGTTGCTACCACCACCGCTGCTGCCGCTGATGTTGCTGTGACAGCACCTTAGCAACAGGGATGCTTCGTATCCCGTGCAAGTGTGACAGAACGGACCCCTCCCCTCTCCAAAGAATGGGGCTCCTTCAGACTCATGTGTGGACAGCGTGGTGCCCTCTCTTATCTTCTGGGAAGAAAACTTGATGAAACTTTTGCTGCAAACTTAAACTACACAAATTATCTCTTCTCTGCCTCTTTCCACTTTACAAATTGTTTTACGTCTCAACAGTAATAAACTGATGATGTGTACCCTTGATGAGATGAGAATGGCACTTAACCTCTGGGGTCATCCTCCCCCAAACCTATAACCTCAGTATAGTAATGGGAAAAAATCAGTCAATTCCCAACTGAGTGGCATTCTACCAAAAAACTCCTCAAAGCTGTCAAGGTCATTGAGGTACCTGGGTGGCTCAGTCATTTGAGTGTCAGTCAGTTAAGCATGAAGTATATGGGGACTCTCTGTACTATCTTCATAATCTTTCTGTAACTCTAAATGTCCAGAGTGCACAGAAACTATTCTGAAAATTTTACTTAAAAATCTGTCTATGCAGGGCATCTGGCTGGCTCAGTCAGAAGAGCATGGGACTCCTGATCTTCAGGTTGTGAGTTCGAGTCCCATATTGGTTGTATAGATTACTTAAAATAAACTTCAAAAATGTGTTTATGTATCACAAAGAAATAGAAAGATATTTCATGCTCATGGATTGGAAGAATAAATATTTTTAAAATGTCTATTTACTCAAAGCAACCTTCATATTTAATGCAATCCCTACCAAAATACCAATATCATTGTTCACAGAACTAGTATAAACAATCCTAAAATTTGTGTGGATCCACAAAAGACCCCGAATAGCCAAAGCAATCTTGAAAAGCAAAGCAAAGCAAAGCTGGAAGCATCACAATTCTGGACTTCAAGTTATATTACAAAGCTGTAGTGATCAAGAAAGTAGACACATAGATCCATGGAGCAGAATAGCCCACAACTATATGATCAATTAATCTTCAACAAAGCAGGAAAAAATATTCAGTGGAAAAAAGAATGTTTCTTCAACAAATGCTTGGGAAAACTGCACAGCAACATGCAAAAAAAAAAAAAAAAAAAAAAAAGAAACTGGACCACTTTCTGACACCATACACCAGAATAAATTCAAAATGGATTAAAGACCTCAACGTGAGACAGGAAATGGTTAAAATCCTAGTAAAGAAAATAAGCAGTAACCTCTTTGATATCAGCCATAGCAATTTCTTCCTAGGTATGTCTCCGGAGGCAAGGGAAACAAAGGCAAAACTATAGGGGCTTATAGTTCCTATAGAACTACTGGGACCTCATCAAAATAAAAAGCTTCTGTACAGCAAAGGAAACAATCAGCAAAACTAAAAGGCAGCCGATGGAATGGGAGAAGATATTTCCAAATGACATATCAGATAAAGGGTTAGTATCCTAAGTATATAAAGAACTTAAACTCAACATCCAAAAAACAAATAATCCAATTAAAAAATGGGC